GACAAGGCAGCGGTCTAGCATTTATCAACTACATTTGTGTTTGGTCTTCTTTTGTTTTAGAGCATCTCCAACAGCTTCCCTATTTCTCTCTTTTGGAGAATTTAGTTAGGTTTTTGGTCAAACAGATTCCCAATCTCATTCCCCAAAATAGGGATGGAGGAGAAAAAATTGGGAAGCTTCCCCAAATCTGCAGCATTCTCCAAATTTTTAGAGGAAAAATGGATTCTTCAAAATGGGGAAGCTGTTGGAGTTGGTGTAAAAATTAGTTAGAAAATATGACTTTTGGTTTTCCATTTTGGAGAAAATTTTGGAGAAACTGTTGGAGAGGGGGGCGAGTGAATGATAAAAGTGAGGGAAATGGCTTGTTTTTAGCATTTTAATTGTTTATTTGTGTGCAAGTAGTTAAGAAAGTAAAATACAAGAAAGTTATTGCTTAAAATTTAATACAATTTTAATTTCACCTAAAAAGTCAATCTACGGTAAGGGGGTGTTTGTTTCAAATACTATAATTTTAGGATATGGATTTCACCATGAGATTTGAAATCCATAGGGGTTTTGTTATGTGTTAGGATTTTTAAAATGTTGTTTGTTTCATTAATATTTTGAGATTTGGAATACTACAATTTATAATATTTTCTTTGTTTCAAGCTCAAATTGTAGCATTACCAAATGCCAAAATTTTGTAATATGATGAATATGCTATCTTGGTGAGGTTACCTCCCACAAAAAGATAAAATTAATATATTCAAAATTGTATTTCATGTAGTCTATTAATCTTATTTTTTAAATTGTTTAAGTTATAGATAGTTGATGTGGGATTAATATACGATATAATTAAGATTAGAATAAATTAATATTTAAATAAAATATTTAAAATAATAAAAAGTAATATTAATATTGAAAAAACATTTTTTCTAGCTCGTTCTCTTTAGAGAGTATGATTTAATGTTCTCCCACGTGCACGAGGTGAAGTGTTGGTTGTCTAAGGGGGTGTTTGTTTCAAATCCTATAATTTTAGGATATGGATTTCACCATGAGATTTGAAATCCATAGGTGTTTTGTTATGGGTTGGGATTTCTAAAATGTTGTTTGTTTCATTAATATTTTGAGATTTGGAATACTACAATTTATAATATTTTCTTTGTTTCAAGCTCAAATTGTAGCATTACCAAATGCCAAAATTTTGTAATATGATGAATATGCTATCTTGGTGAGGTTACCTCCCACAAAAAGATAAAATTGAGATATGTCAAATCCTCTCCAATTGAGAGGTAAGCACACCCATTTATGAAACTTGTCAAAATCCTCTCCAATTGAGAGGATTTGGCAATTTCTAATAATTTGGCACTTTTTGTACTTTTGGGATTTAATATTCTAAATTTTTTTTTAAAACAAACATCATATATGGAATCCCAAAATACAAAAAAACTCACTTTTTGATCCCAAAACTTGTAATTCATACCAAATGTCAAAATTTTTGGTGAAACAAACACCCCCTAAGTAACTTTGATTAAATGATTTTAACTATATTTACTAATTTAATTATATTTTGCCACGTCGTTTTCACATTGTATTTTTAACAATAATTTTATTTTCCAATTAAACACTATATTTCACTTACATGCTGACGTCAATGAGAAAGTCATTTGCAAAATAATAATAATAATAATAATAATTAATTCACTTCTAAATTGCAATACCCCCTTAGAAAGCTAAATAGAACTTGAATAACTTACAGTTTCACTCACTTTGCACTTATCTATCCTCGTTTGTTTTATCTTGCCACATGTATATGCTAAGTTGTTTGAAACTTGCATAACGAAGAGTACTAATGTGCCAATTCTAAGCAATTATATGTAAGTGTTATGAAAAACGAGTGCTGGTATATAAGTACAAAGTGAGTGAAACTATAAGATATTTAAGTTTTATCTAGCCGTTTAGAAACCCATTGTTGGGTTATTTTCCCCTGGAGATGTTTGTGTATTTGGATCCTCTCCATTACAAAAAAGAAAGTAATAGAGAGACCACTGCAATATCACAACTGTTGATTGTTTCATAAGTGGTTGTGATATGTTTTGAGTGAAAATTAGGAAAATAGTGTAATTCATGGGGTATGTTGAGTGTTAGATATGAAATGAATTATAATCATCCACTGCTTTGTTTGTAGTGGAGAGAATCCAAATCTGATATTTTTTACCTTAAACCTTTCATAATTTAAGGGTTTCTTTAAAAAGTAGTCCCTCACATATTCAATAATTTTGTATTACTGCCTCAAATCTTTTAAATTGCTCATAGGTAACTCACATCTTCAAGGATCGTACGAATTGGTCCCTCAATTACCAAAATAATCCTCAGCTAATGTTGTCGACGGTTTGCCGGTGAGGAGTTAAAAACAGAGGATTGTGAGAGGGCGGGGAGAGGACATCGCATGAGAGAGAGATGAGATCAGGAGAGAAGGTAGGAAGTAGGAAATCACTTACGACGAGAAATGACCGGCGATTGTTAGGATGAGGGAAGGTTATTACTAGGGTAAGGTTTGGGGGTGGTTTTTTTTTTCTTTTTTTTCTTTTTTCTTTTTTTTGGTTGGTGGGGTGGGGTGGGGTGGGGTGGGGTGG